TCTATATGTGTTATATATATATATATATATATATATATATATATATATATATATAATATATATATATATATATAAATATAAATACTATACCCCCCCCACACATACACTCACTCACTCACTCACTCACTCACTCTCTCTCTCACTCTCTCACCCACCCACTCACCCACTCTCTCACCCTCTCACCCTCTCACCCACCCACTCACCCACTCACTCACTCTCTCACCCACCCACTCACCCACTCTCTCTCTCTCTCTCTCTCTCTCTCTCTCTCTCTCTCTCTCTCTCTCTCTCTCTCTCTCTCTCTCTCTCTCTCTCTACATTGAAAACTGAAATGTAGAAAAATGAATTGCATATTGCCATAGCATGCACCCTACACTGCTGAAAAAGGAAGGCCAGGTGATGAGTTTCTGGCTGTTGTATAGGCTCTGTAAGTGTTGTAATTATATATGCCCAAAAATTACTACAGTTTAAATTTTAGAGTATTTGTTAACCCATTGGTGCCGGGTATGATGTGTACGTATGTGTTATGCCCACCGTGAGTACTTGTTTGATTGTTTTTACGCATAGATGGCAACACTTGTACTAAATCACCAATAAGCCAACTACGAGTACCGCCCGTCTCGCCCGCCTGTCTCGCCCGTTTACCCGTTTCTTTGATTTACAAAATATTTTACGTTATCTTATTTTGCTGTTACTAATGTTAAAAAAACATGAAAATTATAATGTTTATGATAAAAATAACACCATCGATTTTCATAGCACTAGTGAAAAATACGTTTTTCCCGCCATTTCAAATGAGGCGCTAGCAGAGCGACCTATCGGCAGACATTTCACGAAAAACATAGAAAGTGGGCATAGCATTTTACCCATTTTCAGTTCATTTTCCCCAGTGCCATTGGGTTAGTGGGAGTAAGGTTGTTTTAGGTGAAAATACATGGCTAAGATATGTAGTATATTGTCTTTGTGAGAGCCCTGTACACTCTAGTAAATCTTTTGTAACTTGTATAAAAATAAAAAAATCAAGAAGTCCACTGATGAGAATCCTCTTCATTTTACATACTTCAGCCACCATTCATAGCTTTTGTCTTTGCATTGCCCAGTATTAGCATGTGATTCTATTAGATCTTGTTCCCTGACCTTATGGGGGTAGCATTGCTCAATCAGCTGTTAGTCACAATGCATGCAAGAAACTTAATATGTTTCATACTTTATTTCATGTATGACAATATGTAGGAAGAATAAATATCTTCACTGTGATTAACCAAAATGCATCAAATACATCATGTTCACTATGAAGTTATTCATTCTTATTTGTAATTTTTTTTCTACATTCCCCATAATGAACTCTTCAATTTGTATAAATGTTAACCGCTTAGTGGTATATAAAGAAAATATGAGGATATAAAGGGAGAACATCAGTTTTATGTTCTTAACTGTTACAGAGATAGAAGCAATTGGAACTGGCCATATGACAATAGTATAAAAGTCAGGGGACAAAGCATTTAAACATTGCTATCTTTTCAGATACTGGTATGTATTTTCTTGTGTTTACATTTTTTATATACATAATATTTGTCCTTTAGTAGTTATGTAGTTAAGGATATTTTGTAATGATTACAGAAACTAAACTTCCTGGTACGTGACTGGGGCTTCCCTTATGAAATACCCTATGGACATCAAGGTGGACAGCAGCTTCTTGATGATATTTTGCAGGTGAGAAGTATAAGCAGACATATTGCTTATATCACTTTATGTTAGTATTAAATAATATTTTTATTTTAACCCAGTCAGCATGGATTGCAAGAGTACATGCCATGCTGACTGTAATATAAGTTCATTTCTTGTATTTACACACAGATGGCACTACACGTTCTTAGTCACCAAGGAGTCAGTTATTAGTCCTACCCATCTCACCTGTATACCATTTCCTTGATTTTCAGAAAGTATTTTTCGTATTTTTTCTTTGTCTTTAATATTACTACAACTTAAATAACAGTTTAATACTCATAATGTCAATAAGAATAAAAAGAGTATCAGTTTTAATAGTATCAGAAACAGAATCATATTTTCCTGCCAATTCAAGGAATAGGAAAATCAGGACCAGACACAAGGGCTTACTGCTAGATTCCTTGCTGGTTCTGCACATGTGGAGCCATATGTATGTAACAAAATTCCCTAAAAGCTACAAGGGCTATTGTATAAATCTGTGGTGATTGGGATACCTCTGCAGGCTGCGAAAAATCTTTTTTTTTTCACTTGTCCAGGAGGACAAGTACACCTGACTTTCCACTCGTCCTCTTCTGAATACCACTTGCCCGAAATATATGTATATATATATTATAAAGAAATTTATCAACTGTGATATATGAAACTAATATAAATAACTAATATATGAAACTAATATAAACAAATATGGCAGCCTCCATAATCATAGAACTGAAAGGAACTAGACCTTGCTAGATTTCATTAATTTTAGGGAAAAATCTACTGGAAATTTTTACTCGTCCATGCGGACAAGCGAGGTAAACATTTTACTTGTCCTCCACAAGTTTACACTCGTCAAAGACGTGCGGACGTGGGATTTTTTGCAGCCTGCTCTGGATGATGTGTAGTTCACATCACGGCTGACTTGGTCGTGGTTCAGAGCATGGTTCTATTCCCATCATGGTTTACTTGGTCTTGACTATGGAGGATGGGTCATTTATGTCATGTTACTATGATGCATTACATTTTATGCTGTTCTTTATAAGTTACTTACAGGTGAACCTGTATGTACTTTACATGGTCATTCTCCTCATGTCAAGTACTCAGATTGTCATATAGTTCTCTACCAGTGTGATTGTCTTGAAGTATGAAACACAAAAGGGAAGCCCATGG